CCCCGGGGTAACCCCAGAGCTGTAGTCAAACCCCACTCCCTACCCACTCAGCCCTCAGGCCTTCCCCAGGACCCAGCACAGCACCTGGGGTGCTGAGTCTCACACACGGCTTTCCTCCGGCAACTGCAGTCATTCCAGGAGCTCCCGGCTATAAATGACTCACCAAGATTCCACTTGCCCCTCAGCCAGGGCATAAAGATGGGACAGTTTCGGGACCAGCAGTTACATAGTGGCTATGTCGCTGGACTCCCACGTAGACGACCCCAGTTCGAGTTCCAGACCTGGTGGCTTAAACTCATGCCGGGTATGTGTGCATGTGTGCCCAAGATCCCGGGAGGAGAATGGAGGAGAAGGGACTGCGATGTGGCCATCACCCCTGGGGGATGATTTCTCATTTTCTGTCTCCCTGTCTCTGTCTGTCTGGCGAGCACACGCGCCCTGTAGCAAAAACCTCTCCAAGAAAACTAGGACAGTTTCCACAAATCACATTTATTTCAGGATCATTTACCCGAGAAGTCATCTGGATTGTTTTCTACCTCTGTAATTCTTTCCAGTCGCTTGTCCACAAAGAACACCGCAAGAGCAACTGATCGGATGGAGTGCTGGAGGTCCCCGCAGCTCACGGAGGGCCCCCCACCACGCTCCGGCTGCGCCCACTGCCGCCCTTCCCCACCAGGGCCTGTTCTTCCAGATTCAGACAGTCTGTGTGGCAGGCTCCAAACCCTCCATGATTAGCCCTTTGACCAAACAAGGAGGCAGGAGGACATCTGAGAGGGCTGGGGTCTGAAGGCCGTGCAGTGGCTGCGGACACAGACGAGCATCACTGCCACTGCGAAGATGAAGGCCACTGTCAAAAAGCCCGCTCCGTTTTGGGCTTTCCTCCAGGTGAGTTTTGGTCAAGTGGGTTACTGTGCTGTGACCTCAGAGAAGGCCGAACTGGGTGCTGTGGGGAAGAGAAGGAATGGAGGTGATGACAGCAGCAGCTTATGGAGGCGATGACAGCAGTGACCGCTCTCCAAGCCCTTTCCAAGTGCCTGGCCCAGTACTGACTTTCCCGGGCATTATCTCGTTCGCTCCTCATCGTTCTGGGTCAGGTGTTATCATTCCCATTTTAAAGATAGAAGGCTGGGATCAGCAGTTGGCGTAATGGCTACATCGCTGGACTCCCATGTAGTTGACCGCAGTTCGAGTCCCGGACCCAATGGCTTCAACTTACACCAGACACATGTGCCATCCCCCCGGGGGGTGATTTCTCACTTTCTGTCTCTCTGTCTTTCTGGCAAGCGCACATGCCCTATAGCAAAAACCTCCCCCCCCCAAAAAAATAAAATAAAATAAAAAGATAAGAAAGCCGGGCCCAGAGAGGCTAAGTTCCCGGCCGAAGACCATCAGGCTGCTAAGCCACAGGCTTGGGATTTGGACCCAGCTTTGTCCAGCCCCAAAGCCTGTGATCTTCACCCTGTGTGGACCAGCTGGGAAGGGAGACAGCACTACACCACCACAGTGGGGCACACTTCCTCAGCGAACCCGCGGTTCTTGGTGCCCCTGTTCCCTATCAGAGAATGCCCCTCTAGCCGAGGTCTCAAAGAGGTGGACGGCAGTCCAGGCTTACTGAATTTGGCTGATCGGGTTTTAAAATAACTCGACCAGCTTGAAGACCTCTGTGGCCCAGGCTTCACCACACTCACCCCCTTAGATCTGCTCAAGAGGTTGGGGGTGTAGTTTTTTGTGGGTGCTGTCAGCTCACAAGCACCTGGCACCGAGCACGGGGTGCCTCTGAAGACAACAGTCCCTCCTAAGCACCTCTACGTTAGGACTTTCTGCAAACACCCTTGTGGGCAACGTGCTTGGCGGCCTCTGAGAGCCAGGACGGGGCTGGCGAGGGACTGCAGCGGCGGCCACACTGGGAGGAGCCCGTGGGACTCTCCAGCTGCGGGGTCAGAGCGGAGCTAATGTGCCACTCTGTGGAACCACGCCAGGTCTCTGATCTCACGCTTCTCTGGAAGCCCTTTCTCTGTTGCAATCAGCCTGGAGTCATGTGTCCTCTGCGCTAATGTGACCGGAACAGACACGGCCCGCCATTCCTCAGGCAATGGAGGCCAGCCTTTCCTTTTCTTTTCTTTTTTTCTTTTCTTTTTTTGGAGAGGTTTTTATAATGGGGGTGGGGTGCGCTCACCGGAAAGACAGAGAGACAGAAGGCGGCTCCTTGATGGGCCCAGCCTCTAATTAGCCTACGAATAGCACCATGCTCATGCTCCTGGCGGCTACTCCTTTTGCCCCCACCCCTACTCACTGCACGGCTGGGTGCCTTTTTCAGGGGCTACAGAAGTCTGAGCAAAGAGAACTGACAGTCAGACTCCATGAACTTCAGCATGCATCCTGCCTGGCAGTTAGAGGATGTAAAGATATAAGAAGTCAGGGAATTAAAAAGTCTAAGCATTGGAGGACCAGCAGGTGGCAGAACAGCTAAGGCGCTGGACTCCCCCATGGTCAACTGTGGTTCGAGTCCTAGACCCAGAGGCCTGAAACTCATGCTGGGCGGGCACGTGTGTATGCCTGCCAAAAATTCTGAGAGGAGAATGGGGAAGATGGGGTTGCAGTGTGGCCATGCCCCCCAGAGGGTGATTTCTTGCTTTCTGTCTCTCTGTCTCTGTCTCTCCAGCAAGTGCATGTGCCCTATAGCAAAAAATTTCTTAAAAAAAAAAAAGTCTAAGGGTTGGAAGGGATCGTACTTCGATCTTCGCATAAGAACAATTCCTTGCAAAGCAATATTCACCAAAGGCTTTCATCTGACACTACTGGGTTTTAAGCAGGGCTGCACTGAGGAGGCATAGACTCCCCCTGGCCCCAAGGAGGGAGTCTTCACCTTTTGCCACGAAAGCCAATGCTGTGCCTTCACTTACTCCTCAGGACCGGGTGTGAAGGCAGGCACTATGACGTCACTCTCCTACCCAGCGGGGCTTTGGTTCCTCAGACTTCCCCACCCCTTAGCAAGACCTCTGCCCTCAGCAAACTGCCTCCCCAGGTGGCCTGGCCACGTCCACCCTCCGGGGCTGCCCGTATCCTCTCCAGCTCCTTCTCCCGCCTGGATGGCACCCAGCGTGATCCTCACCATGGTCATGTAGGTGGCCTCTGTCTTCGTGCTTGGCTCTTCTCGCTCGGTCCCCTCCCCTGTCGCTATTGAGGAGTAAGCATGTTTCTAGAAGAGAGGAAAGGGCACAAAGGTTCCCCAAATCAGGCACGTCTTGTACACCGGAGAAAAAGCCGGCCACTCCTACTCGCAGGGCGTGGGCCACCCGCCCAGGGCCTGGACGGCCCAGCGTCATCCTCACCATGGTCACGTAGGTGGCCTCTGACTTGGCATCTGGCTCTTCTCCCTCGGTCCCCTCCCGTGTCGCTATTGAGGAGTAAATGTGTTTCTAGAAGAGAGGAAAGGGCATGGAAGTTCCCCAGATCAGACACGTCTCACACACCAGAGAAAAGGCCACGGGGCACCCTCTACCCCAACCAGGAAGATCACAGGAGCGTCACAGGAGCTAGGGTCTTGTCACCAGTACCAAGAATTCAGTCTTCGGTCTGCTTGAAAACAAACTCCTCACTAACGGCACTATTGTCACCACGCGAATTCCTTGCTTCGAAACCCAAGCAGCAGGACTAGCAGATAGCATAATGGTTATTATGTCCCTGGACTCTCTCATCTTAGACTGTGGTTCGAGTCCTGGATCTGGTGGCTCAAAATACATCAGGCACGTGTGCGTGTGTGCCCAAAATCCCAAGAGGAGAATGGAGGAGAAGGGATTGTGGTGAGGCCATCTCCCCTGTAGGGTAGTTTCTCTCTTTCTGTCTCTGTCTCACTCTGTCTCTCTGGCAAGCCCACAAGCCCTATAACAAAAATCTCTTTCTCTCTCTCTCTCTCTTTTCTTTTTTTGAGAGGATTTTGCTATAAGGCACGTGCACTCGCCAGAAAGACAGAGAGAGACAGAGAGACAGAAAGCAAGAAATCACCCCCCAGGGGGGATGGTCACGCCGCAATCCCTTCTCCTTCATTCTCCTCTCAGGATCTTGGGCACGCACTCACATGTGCCCAGTGTAAGTTTAAGTCACCAGGTCTGGGATTCGAACAGAAGTCGACTACATGGGAGTCCAGCAACATAGCCATTAGGCCAACTGCTGGTTCCACACCCCAAAAAAAAAAAAAAAAAAAAAAAAAAAAACCCTCCCAAGCAGCTCTGTTTATAGGGTCGGTTAGGCAGCCGCAGGGGAACCCTTATCTTGCTGAATCCTTGTGTTCTGTTATTTCCTTCTAATTAGAGTCCTGGCAGCCCGGCATTCATCAGCAGCTAATTGTAGTCATCTCTCTTGTTCAGTGGCAGAAGAGCCCTGTGGCACCGCACACCTGTGAGGTCAGTGGCACTTTGTGAGTCACAGACCTGTCAACTCTTCGGGAAAGCAATGTCACCCAGTGACAAATCCTCCATCATCAGAGGCCCCTGCATGCTGTCGGGAGAAAATGCCACTCTTGGGACAGAAACAGCCCAAAAGACATCATAAGCGAACTCTGTAAGGGGGACTTGTGTGTGTGTGTGTGTGTGTGTGTGTGTGTGTGCGCCAGAGTACATGGAGAAAGCACCCCCCATGGGGCATGGTCACATTGCAATTCCTTCTCCATTTCTCTTTCCTGTCAGGAGTTTGGGCATGCACACACATAGTTTTTGAAGTGGGCAGAATTTGGGCAGCAGTCAGTCAGGTGGGAGCTGGTTCCCATAACCACTAGGCTACCGGGCCGGCCCACAAAGTGGAGTTTTTAAACATTAGAAAGAGGGTGGATGGAAGAGAAGAAAGGTGAGGGGAGAGATACAGAAAAGGAGTTCCAGGAAATGAGTCCCTTTCTCAGTTCCTAGAAGTAATTGTTACAGCTCCATTATAAACTAATATGGAGGGGAGCGTCCCTCTTGTCCTCTCTTTCTAAAGGTCCCTGAATGTTTTTCCTTAAGCACTAACCCCACAGCCTCCCCTTGTATTTACACAGCGCACTTGCAAGTCATTTCACTCGAGCCTTTCAACCCCCTGGGAGACAGGCTGGGCAAGTGTGTTCTTTCCTCGTTTTGCTGATAAGACTCTGGATGGGGCAGGACTTTCTGACTTCAAACCCAGTGCTCTTCCAGCGAGAGCTGGGAGGGGCCAGCTGGCCCTCCACCCCACTCTGCTCCTAGGAGGCTCTTATTCCAGAGACCAAAGCTTTTCTGAGTCCCTGCTCTGTGCCTGACACTGGCCTGCGATCCGAGAGGAGGATGAGTAAGACGGTTCCCAGGGGGCAGTAACAGCCGCGTTGATGCAGAGCGCGTCCACCGCCCCCGCCTAGGGCGCAGCCATGGGATGGGAAAGTCCTTCTCTCACCTCTGGATTAGCCTTCTTCGCGTTCTCCAGGCTCTTCACCGCGGAACTGCAAAGCAGAAGCACGTGGAATTAACCGGCCAGTACTGCTGATGCACGCAAGACTCCCGCATAGCTTGGCAAAGAGAGACCCAGAAGAGGGACTGTTGTCACTAGGCCCCCACAGCCTGGGCTCGCTCTGACACCTGAGAAGTGCGTCTCTTCTTGTGGGGAGCAAGCAGCCCTTCTGGAAAAAGATTAGGCTAAGAAACAGCTACACTGCTCTAGGATCACTTGGACAACTTTCTATCCATAATGGGAGATGGAATTTTAAATGAATGGAGAGGCACGCATTAGAGGGTCTCCTCCCCTCCGTTTTTCTGCCCTATGGGGACCAGCAGGGGGCAGCAGAAACCCAGCAAACAGCTGTTCAAAGGGCCAGATCCCCACCAACACCCTACCCCAGCTGTGAGCTCTGGCCTCTCCACCCTCAGGAACCTTTGGCGTTTGATCTCATGTCATGACCATTTGCCTTTTGCATGGGCCACTGAATACGTCTTCTGTTGTTTTGTTTTGTTTTCTATTTTGACCTAACACAGAGCAAAATATAATTAAAATGATGATACTCGGGATTAAAGCTAGAAAAGTGGGAAACTTTCTATCATAGTTACTGATTATAAAGTTGTATATTCTCACTGTAAAATAATGAAACTATCACAGAAGTATAGTCACTTGGAGTTGAAGTTCCCAGTAAACTCCTTACCCCACGGGACGCGCTTTCTCCTTTGTCTCGAATGCCACACCACTGTGAATATGTTAGAATCATCCTTCCAAACCCTCTCCATGCAAACGTAGTAAGCCCACACGAAACCTATTTAGTGTATATGCTGCAGAAGCGAGCATTATTTTGTGTTTCATAAAAATGAAATTACACTGTATTTTCTTTACCACTGGCTCTGGATACCTTTCCAGATCATGACATGCAGGGCTGTGTGTGCTATCTCATCGAATGTAATAATATTCATTGAATCATTGCCGTTCTGACAGACTCTGGGACAGTTCCAATTTTTAATGATAAGCTGTGCCACAGCAACCATTTTTATGCACAAACCCCAGTCTGTTGATCTGATTATTTCTTTAGAGATAAACTACTAGATCTGGAAACACTGCCCTTTATTTTGAGGGAAACTGAGGCCAGTAAGCTGACTTTGGAGCCCAGGTTGTCTAAGTCTTGGTTCTGTGTTTTCAACACACCCAGAGCTCAGAGCCTTGGAGAGACCAACTGAGTTCAAAACCAAGTCAGGGGACCAGCAGTTAGCGTAATGGCTATGTCGTTGGACTCCCACGTAGTCGACCGCAGTTTGAGTCCCGGACCCGGCGGCTTAAACTCACGCGGGGCGCGTGTGCGTTCATGCCCAAGATCCCTAGAGGAGAATGGAGGAGAAGGGACTGTGGTGTGGCCATTCTCCCTGGGGGGTGATTTCTCGCTTTATCTCTCTGTCTTTCTGGCGAGCACACGCCCTCTATCGAAAACCTCTAAAAAACAAAACCAAGTGAGAAAGCCCTGCGGAGTGGGATGCAAGCCCGGCGGGCATGTGCTTTCCATAGACTCCATGTTCCAGCCGGAAAAGCCACTCAGAAGTCCACATGACTTGGTCTTCATGGGAGTCCTTTTCTACCGACTCTTTTTTAACCAGAGAGTCAATTTGCCTCACCAACAAATTTCAACAATAGCTGGGTAAACTGAGGGACAGCGCCTGCTGAGAGCTAAAGACACACTAGTGCCCGTGTCAGGGCACCTGGATGTTTCTGAGACCCTGGGAGCATGACTGACGAAATGAAGGCCCTTAAAAACACATTTCAATAACAAGTCACGTAGAACCTGAGGGCATCCATTCAAAAACAGCCTCTCATAATGAGAATTTGGTCCCTGAAATAAAACCACTGGCAACTCTCAAGATCTCAGCTTCTAGGGACCAGCAGTTAGCGTAATGGCTATGTCGCTGGACTCCCATGTAGTTGACTGCGGTTCGAGTCCCGGACCCGGTGGCTTAAAACTCATGCCAGGCACATGTGTGTGTGTGCCCAAGATCCCGAGAGGAGAACCGAGGAGAAGAGATTGTGGCGGGGAGCAGCCCCTGGGGAGTGATTTCTCGCTTTCTATCTCTCTGTCTCTCTCTGTCTGTCTCGCCCCCTAAAGGAAAAACCCCTCAAAAAAAAAAAAAAATCTCGGCTTCTATATGAAGATATAGAGTGTATAATTAAAAAAAAAAATTCTCCCAGGCAGAGAATGGTGCTATTAAATTGGGTTGTCAGAAAAGTCATGACATATCTTTCTGTTTTTCTTTTTATTTTTAAGAGATTTTTGCTATAGGGTACATGCACTCGCCAGAGACACAGAGACAGAGAGACAGAAAATGAGAAATCACCCCACCCCACAGCCAAGGAGGAATGGCCATGATGCAATCCCTTCTCCTCCATTCTCTTCTCAGCATTTTGGGCACACCACACACACAGCATGAGTTTTAAGCCACCGGATCCAAGACTCGAACCGTAGTTGACCAGGTGGGAGTCTCCAGGGACATAACCATTATGCCATTCACTGGTCCCATCCATTTTGTTTTTCTATGCAAAACTGTGTTATGTCTCTTCTGATGACCCAATAGTTCTTGCATGAGATTTATACTCTTTGTTATACTCTACTTAGACCTCTGTCTGCAAGGGAGTTTTTAATCTTTGTCTAATACCAAAGTGAAAGAGGATGGTGTAGCAATGGCCAAATTTTTTCAGGAGACAGTGAGCAGAGGAGACAGAGCAACACGAAGACAGCTACAGTGACAACTATAGATGATTCCTTTTCAAAATACCCCTTCTGGGGTTGGCAGATGGCATGGTGGTTAAGGACACTGGATTCCCACATGGCTGACCGTGGTTCGAGTCCCAGACCTGGCAGCTTGCTTTCTCCCTTTCCCTTTCTCTCTCTCTGTCTCTCTCTGGCCAAATTAATAATAATAATAATAATAATAATAATAATAATAATAATAATGGAATCAAATAAATAAAATAAATACCCCTTCTGTGTGACTGGCACAGTTAGGGCCTCACATTCTCTTCCACTTTGGGCTAGAGGCCGTCCTACACCCCCAGCCTCCCCACCCAAGGGGTAGGGGCAGCACTGTACCTCTTGTTCCCGTGGGTCTTCTTCACGATCAAAATCAGAACAGGAAGCAGCAGAATAGTGGCACAGACGATCCCCACTATGATCACCAGCTGATTACCGCCCAGCAAAGCAGGTCGGAGAGCTGCTGGGGTCGCCAACAGGGACTCTTGGGAAAGGGAAAAAGCAACGAAAGGGTCTCGGTATCCGGGAGAAGAATGGAGAGCCCCATCAGTTCTTACCAAGTAGCAACAGTCAGGTCAGGAAACAGAGGGAGGAGGACACACCCCACTCCGTGTTGGGTCCCTGGGGACACTGTTCCCGGTAGACTGAGAGCCAAATTCTGACCCCTTGCTTATCCCTAAAATCTAGAGTAAGCTGTGGGAGAAGAGGCTAACGATTCTGCTCTAAAGTTTCCTTTCACATCAACAATTTCATTCTTAAATTGGTGTTGCAGATGACCAGAAATAACAGGCATTGGAGAGGTGTTGATCTTTCTCTAGGCAAGTGATTGTTTTCTTTCTTTTAATTTTTTTTTGAGAGTTTTTTTGCTATAGGGTGCGTGCACTCGCCAGACAGACAGAGAGAGACAGAGAGATAGAAAGTGAGAAATCACCCCCCAGGGGGATGGCCACGCTGCAATCCCTTCTCCTCCATTCTCCTCCCGGGATCTTGGGCACGCACGCACACGTGCCTGGCGTGAGTTTTAAGCCACCGGGTCCAGGACTCAAACCACAGTCAACTATGTGGAAGTTCAGCGACATAGCCATTACGCTAACTGCTGGTCCCGGCAAGTGACTATTTTCTAAAGAATCATGCCACAACACCCAGCCCTATAATCCTGATCCGAGCAAGGCCTTCAGAGGCACTTCCAGCCACATGGTGTCCTTCACTCATCTCCTCAGTGCACTCTGAACACATAACAAACACCTCCTCGGTGCCAGACATCACGGGCACAGAACACACAGATGAATGAATGATGCATGGCCCCTGCCTCCAGGGAGGGAGACCAGCATGTCAACAGAAAGCCGCAGGCCACTGCAGGTGCTGTGACCAAAGCTTGCATGTGCAGAGGGGCACAGAGAAAAGGGAGCCCAGTTCAATGTGGAGCTGAGGTGAAGAGGAGCATTTGCTAACAAAGTTTAAAAGTTTAACCTGAGGCCTTTCTAAAAGAATTATTTATTTTTAAATCTATTATTAATTTTTTAAAAGTTGCTATGGGGTATGTGTGCTCACCAGAGAGAGACAAAAAAGAGAAAGAGAAAGTGAGAAAGCAAGCCGCTGGGTCTGGGACTCGAACCTCAGTCAGCCCTGTGGGAGTCTGACGCCCTAACCACCACATCATCTGCTGGCCTCTAATTTGAGTCTTAAAGGAATCATCATGGATGTTATGCATTGGGCCTGGAGGTCTGATGGGATGGTGCATTCAGAAACTGGAAATAGTTTGGTAGGGCTGGCACAAAGGTCGCATGGGTAAGTGTGCTGAGGTGGATTCAGCTGGAGAGAGCATAGGATCTGAGTCAGAAGGACCATGGCCACTTCCACCAGGAGTTCAGCCTTTCCTTCTGTGACCTTCTATTCTGAAGCAATATAAGCAGTGGGGTGGAATATTCTGACTTGAGGTTTAGAAAGATGGTGCAGACAGTTACATGAAGAACGAGGGGCAGTGGCTGAGAACGAAAGCAGAGACTGGCTAGAGACACAGTTCAAGGCAGAGACGAAGACAGCCAGAGATAAGGTGGGGGTGAAGAACTGGAAGGAGACCAGCCTCAAGGTCAGTAGTAGACATGGAGAGACCTGGGGGAGCCTGACGCCTCGGAAATTTGAATACCACAGTAGCATGGAGTGTGTCCTCACGAAGACGGACATCTTGGAGTTGTCGGAGGATCTAGGTTACAGGGGTCCATTGTTGGAAGATGGTGCTCTGTCTCAGGCGGTCTCTGCTGGATCCAGTTCCCCTGAGTTTACCAAACTCTGTGCTTGACTGGTGTCTGAGTGAAGCTGAGGAAGTCCAGCTTGAGGTGAGTGGGCTTCTAGGGGAGATGGACGGCCATTATCTTTCCCTGACTTCTGGGGATGTGGCCAAGCGCCTTCTCATTCAGAAGAACTGCCTCCTCTTGCTCACATACCTCATCTCAGAACAAGAAGCTCCCAGAACGCTCTGTGAACGCTCCCTCCAAGAGAAGCTCAAGATGGAGGCGGCAGTGAGGCCTTTCAAGAGTGCATTGCTCCAGGAGTGGCCCAACCTCCAGCCCATGTAACTGTGTTCCAATTCTTCATTTTTTTATTGAGAAAAAATTAAAGGAAACTTTAGCAAAACTCCCACCAAATCATGTGGGAAAGCCTTTCTTAAAGAAGCCTATGGGACCAGCCCACTGGGAAAAGATAGAAGCAATTAACCGAGCCATAGCCAATGAGTACGAAGCCTGGAGAAAACTGCTCATAAAAAGTGTGGATGTCACTGTTCAGTCCTTTGGCTGGACTGAGAGAACTGAGAGCGAGACAGAAAAATCAGCCAACGTTTACCAGCCAAAACGTTCAGTCTTGTCTCCAAAAAGTACTGTTTCTTTTTTTCTTTTTTTCGCTATAGGGTGCGTGCGCTGGCCAGACATACAGAGACAGAGAGACAAAAAGCAAGAAATCACCCCCCAGGGGGGATGGCCATGCCGCAATCCCTTCTCCTCCATTCTCCTCTCAGGATCTTGGGCATGCACGCACACGCGCCCGGCATGAGTTTTAAGCCACTGGGTCCGGGATGCGAACCACGGTCGACTACGTGGGAGGCCAGCGACATAGCCATTACGCTAACTGCTGGTTCCCCAAAAAGTACTGTTTCTGTTGCCCATCTTTTGGCTGTAAGACAAGACTTGTCAAAGATTTTAAGAACAAGAAGTGACTCTATAAGAGAAAAGACTGCTTGTGCCATCAATAAGGTTTTGAGGGCAGGGTGCCTGACAGAGGTGACAAGTCCAGTGAAATTGAACCTCCACCCCCAGAGATGCCACCGTGGCAAAAAGGCGATATGGTCCCTAGCAGCAAGCAGGAGGCCGAGGAGGAGGAAGAGGTGGCTTTGAACATTCCTCATATGGAGGACGAGGAGGTCACGAACGAGGAGGAGGAAGAGGTGGCCGTGGTGGCTATGACCATGGTGGCCGAGGGGGAGGAAGAAGAAATAAGCATCAAGGAGGTTGGACAGACGGAGGGAGTGGAGGAGACGGAGGTGACAACCAAGATGATGGTTACTGAGATTCAGGTTTCCAGCCAGGTAGCTCCCGTAGTGGTCACAGCAGTGGATGTCGAGGTCATGTTATGGTGGCTTCCAAACAGCTTTATTTTCAGAAAGTAGATACCAGGGTGATGGATACCAGCAGGACATTACATACCAAGATGGCGGGCATCATGGTGATCGAGGCAGTGGCCGTAGAGGGAGAAGTAGTCACAGAGGTCGAGGTGGGCGTGGAGGCTAGGGAGGCGGTTGGGGAGGATGGGGGAGCCAGACTTATCACCAAAGGGGTCAATTTGAACAGCACTTCCAGCATGAAGGTTATCAATATCATCACTCTGGATTTGAACAGGATGACATTAAACTAGTTAAGGCTACAGGACCTTTCCTTTTGCTAGAGTTGAAGTAATAGAAACTTAGTTTCAGAATCCTGAATTGTCGGGACCAGCAGTTAGTGTAATGGCTATGTTGCTGGACTCCCATGTAGTAGACCGTGGTTCGAGTCCCAGACCTGGTGGCTTAAACTCACGCCAGGCGCATGTGCGTGCGTGCCCAAGATCCCAAGAGGAGAATGGAGGAGAAGGGATTGCTGTGTGGCCATCCCCCCAGGGGGGTGATTTCTCGCTTTCTGTCTCTCTGTCTCTCTCTGTCTGTCTGGCGAGCGCACAGGCCCTATAGCAAAAAACTCTCCAAAAAAATTTAAAAATAGTTAAAAAAAAATCCTGAATTGTCTATTTTGAATTAATGTGAGACCACAAATGGCAGGCAGATTCCTGCTTGGCATAAGCATTTGTAGGTCTTCATTCAATTCTAGTTTTTACTTTAGTTGTTTTTTTTTTTTTCTCTTTTAATGGACTTACATAATGCAGTTTATTTAAAAACACATCATCTCTCCTTTTTATGAAAAAAAATTTTAAAAGGTGATTAAAATCGCCTTTCATTGACCCGTAGACTAATTTTACAGTCAGACGAGGCATGCTTTTTCTTTGAAGAAATTACTTGAATTAAGTAGTTTTCAGTATGCAGGTTTGAAAATGATTCACCTAGACGTGTTTAGATTTACTACTAGGATACACTCCTCCCAGTAACAATCCATTTGTATGTGTTTTGCTTCGAGTATTCTAATGCTTCTTTCCTAAGCACAGTTCTGCCGATTGGCTGTTTATTGAGAGGTTATGTCACATGTGGTTCTTGACACGACGTTCGGGTCCATTCCTGTTAAATGAGCCCTTCTGCAGGTAGCACGCTCAGTAGCCTTCTCCTGTTAGTGGAACACCATGCCATACACTCAACTCTGAACACCTCGGACCCGGCCCGGATCCCTAAAGATGATCACAGCCAACTGTGCTGTGAATGGATAGTACGTGGAGGTCTTTGTTAGGGATGGCCATTCAAACTGACCTGCATCCATCCAAAACAAGCTCTCCTTCAACCTTATTTTTTACTTGAAATCGGTTAGAAAAAACAGCAAACCGAGATTTGCTTTATGCACACGTTCATACCACTGGCTCAGCAAATGCAAGTTAGTCTGTTTTAGGCAGGAGACATTTTGTAACGGAACTATGAAGGAAGACAGGTTTGTTTGTTTGGTTGGTTGGTTGGTTTTTTTTTGCTTTGCTTAGTGCAGAAGGCCCATTATTATTGTTGCAGAAAACAAAAGCCTGGCTGAGTTGATGGTTTACGTTCTCTTTTACTGAAATCTACATGACATGATGCTTCTTGCTGGGTTTTTGTAAACGTAAACCTGGCCAAGCTGTGAAAGGAGATGGCTGGAGGTGTGCTTTGTACAAAAAGTGAGCAATAAAGTATCTGTACATTCTCGGAAAAAAAAAAAAAAAAGATGGCGAGACTTGTCATCCCGAGATTAGGCCCACAGGAAAGTGAAGAAGCAAGTGCAATCTCCAGACATCTCATCAGACAACTGTGTAGACAGTGTTGGCGTTAACAGAGTTGGGGAGATGAGAAGGGGAGAAGTGCGCAGGGGTAGGTTTGGAAAGGTTGTTTTTGAAGGATTTGTGGAAACTTGGGTGGGAGGGATAGGCAGATCGATAGAAGTGGTGTCCACCATGAACTTACATAGAATATCATGTTCAATACTGCTGAGTACCGAAGGCTGAGAATGGCAAGCAGCATGCCACTGGTGGTCCAAGCTGGGGCCAGAATGTATAGTATGTATGGGAATATCTTTGACTGGACTAATACTCAGTGTGCTCATGCCGTGGAAGTTGATTTTGTGTACTGGAAAGATATGCAATGATTAAATGTAAATAAATAATTCACTTCAAACGGGTGAATTATATGTCAGCTATCTCAAGAAAGCTGCTTTAAAGAAGTCAGGGGGCCAGCCAGTGGCATGGTGGTGAAGGCACTGGGCTCCCACATGGCCAATCATGGTTCAAGTCCCAGTCGTGGTGGTTTGCTTTCTTCCCCCACCTTCCTATCTCTCTCTGGTCAAATTAAATAATAATAACAATAAGTAAAATTAAATAAATCATTCTTAAAAATAAAAGGGAAGAAAGAGAAAGTCAGATATAGGATGAGAGCTCAAGTAGAAAAGGGCACAGGGAAGAGGAAGAACTGGGTGTGTTTACGTGCCAGACACAGAAGCCAACAGAGGCGAGAGCTTGAAGAGCCATGTTGTGAGGTTCCTAGGGAGGCAGAGAGGATGGGGCCAAGTACAGGGCCCAGACCAGCCCAGGGCAGGAGGCAGCTCCTCTGCCTCAGGTGGGCAGGGCAGAGACAGAACTGGGGCAACTGTAGATGTGTTTGTGGGTGGAGAGGGCTAAGAAGTTAAACGAGCCCCTCTAACGGCTTGCGTTTCCTCTGAGAAGTGGAAGGGAGCCTTCTGAGGGGGAAGGAGACACCGAGAGGATGACTTTGGGAAACCCACTGCCCTGCTTCCTTGCCAGCTGGGACCCTATGCAAACAACAAGAAAGCACTGAGCCAGTCCATGGCAGGATGGTTAAGGAGGCTGGATCCCACGTGGCCAACTGGGCAGCTCAAAGCCTGGACCCAGCAGCTTGAGAAACACACTGGGCACATACGCATGCCCAGAATCCCAAAAGGAAAAACAGATGGAGAAGGGGGTTATGCTGTGACCATGCCCCATGGGGAGTGCTTTCTTAACTTGAAAACAAAACAAAACAAACAAACAAAAACAAACAAACAAACAAACAAAAAACCAAGAAAACCCCTCCATAAACTCGAGTGTCTTGGTTGAGGTATCAAGGTATGCTCCATTCTCAGCCCACCTCCCGCCCCCGGCCAACCACAGCCACTCCTGGAGGCTCTAGTGAGAGACAAAGTCCACAGGCCACATCCTGACTGACTGGTTACGGTTTAACTTTAACCCTTACTTATCTTCCTCTCTCAGGCAACACAAAGGCGTGCTTATTCTCCTGCACGCCAGGGCTCTGGTGCACTGTGTTTGCTAGACTATAGCAGAGCCTCTGATCAGAAAGGACCCTGTGTCTGGTCCCAGAGCCAGCCTGCTTCTCCCTGTTCTTGGCTGTCTTCCCTGACTCAGGCCACTCCCCTACCCCCAACTCCAGAGCATGCAGCCTCCCCCCGAAGCCAAAGATGACTTTCGGCATCAACCTTAACTCATCTCTGAGCTCTTAAACAATGGAACTTCAAGAAGCTGGTGGAAAAATGGAATTGATGTACCAAAATGGATTTATTTTGGTACAAATAATACATGAAAGCATGCACTTTTTTTATAACATGAATTTTCCATGAGCTTTGTGAAGACCCCTCATATCTTCACATAGGTAGACTACACTGGCCATGAGGGCAGCCTAGCAGAGAGTTGGTGTTCACTAAATGTGAGCTCCCTTCTCCTTGGTCAAGAACAGGGCCAAAAGGAAGATGAAGCAAGCCAGGCACCTACGGAGCCAGGAGGAAGAAGGTGTCACCCTGGTGACACTCTGATGCAGAGTCAGCAGCCAAAGGTAGTGCCGCCTGCAACTTTGCAGCCTGGGAGCCTCTCTGGCCTCGTTCTAGACCTAGTCCTGCCCACCGGCCATGCAGCAGCTTAGCCCACCCCAGCCAAATGTGAGCTACCTCGGGGCTCCTCCAGGATCACACGCAGCGCCACGGTTTTCCTGAACACCAGACTCCCCAGGTGGATGCTACAGGTGTAGACTCCTCCGTCAGACTCCTTCACTCCTTCAAGCTTGACGGAGCCATCATTGCGGGAAATGTCCCCCACCAAGTTTACACGGTTCTGGAAGCGGCCCCAACTCTGGGGGTACCCCACAGGCAGGTTGAATTTGGAGTGGTAGTATAACATGATCTCCTCCTAGGAGTGAGAGAAAAAACTATGAGACTGTAAGGGCTTCTGGGAGGAGGCACGAAGGTGGGAAGGGAGGCTTTCGGGGCTCATGGGCCCTGGCATGTGAAGGCGGTAAAGAGGTGTTGGAGAAGTACTAGGTAGGCAGGCTGAACCCGGGGCCTGGTGGGCAGGGAAACCAGACCCCACATGGCTGACTGCATTCAAGTCCCAGTCCTGGCAGCTTGACACACATGCCAGGTGCACGTGCATGTGTGCCCCAAACCCTGACAGGATGGGAAAATAGAGGAGAAGGGATTGCAGCGTGACCACTCCGCCTTGGGATGTGCTTTCTCCCTCTCTGTCTCTCTCTGGTGATCGCATCCATCCTCTGGCATTTTAAACAGAAAGATAATAGAAAGTCGTGCACACCCTGGTGTGTGTGCTTGTGCCCTTGTGAAAGACCTCACCAAACCACAGGTAACTGGTCAAACTGAAGGAGGTGGGAAGGAGGGCCTTTCTTTTTCTGCACTTCTCCAATTAAAAAGCGCGTCGTATACTTTTACTTCTTATGACATTTCCAGGTGGATTTCCAAAAGCACCTGAAACGTGTCTAACACTGAACTAATTTCTCCTAAAATCCTAGCCAGCTCCTCCCAGTCTATCCCGTTTCAGTAAATGGCAAGGCCTTCTTTCTGATGCTCAGGCTGAAAATCTTGGTGTCATCCTTAATGCCTCCCTTTCTTACACAACTGACATCTAACCTCTCTGCAAATCCTGTCACTTCCCCTCCACTATGTATGCCAGACCTGCCAGCTCCCATTTCCTCCACAGCCACCACACTGGCCCAGGCCACCTCATCTGTCACCTGGATGCCTGAACTGCTTTCTCACTTCCCTCCCTTCTTCCTCCTCTTACGCTCTATCCTCAGCAGAACTGATTTACAATCTGATTAAATTATGTGACCCCTCTGCTCAAAACCCTCCAATGCCCCCCATTCTTAGCAAAAGCACAAGGCCCTGGACGATCTGCCTCAGCCCTCTCTTCCTCTCTGACTTTGTCTCCTACTCTGACTCCACACGTCCCTCACTAACTAGGGTCACTTCACTCCAGCGACCCTGGCCTCCTTGTAGCTCCTTGAGTCCTGGCCCCAGGCCTCTGCCCTTGCTGCCCCTAGGACTGGAATACTTCTTCCCAAACACACACATGATCTGCTTCCATGCTTCCTTCTGACCTCTGTTCAATGTCACTTCCTCCGTGAGGCTTCCCTGGCCACCTGTATAAAATAACCACCACAGAGACCAGCAAATGGTATAATCATTACATCCCTGGACTCCCAACCATAGTTGACCATGGTTCAAGTCCCGGACCCGGCGGCTTAAAACTCACACCGGGCATGTGTGCCTGCACACCCAAAATCCCGAGAGGAGAATGTAGGAGAAGGGATTGAGGTGTGGCCATCTCCCTGGGGGGTGTTTTCTCACTTTCCCTTTCCCTGTCTCTCTTTGTCTCTCTGGCAAATACATGTGCCCTCTAGCAATTAAAAAGAAAGAAAGAAAGAAAGAAAGAAAGAAAGAAAGAAAGAAAGAAAGAAAGAAAGAAAGAAAGAAAGAAAGAAAGAAAGAAAGAAAGAAAGAAAGAAAGAAAAGAAAAGGTATTAGGGAGTTAACCCCATGACCTAGTGCCAAATGGTTTAGGGAGCCAATCCCACATGACTGACCATGGTTTGAATCCCAGCCCTGGAGGCTTGAGAAGACAAGCTGGACACATGGGTATGCACGGCCCAAATCCAGACAAGATTGATATATGAAAGAAGGATTTATTGTACTGTGCCCCATTGGGGGGAGTGCCTTCTCTCTCTCTTTCTCTCTCTCTCTCCCCCTCTCTTTCTCTTTCTCTCTCTTTCTCTCTCTCTTTCTGGTAAGAGCATGCTGCCTTTGGCAAAAATAATCATAATAAAAATAGGTACACAGACACAAACACCACACCCCTAACCTTTTTGTCTTTTGTGATTCAAATTCAACCTCAAAATGTCAACTCTCGTCCTATTTTCTGGTGTGAGTCACTCGACAGACAACATTTAAACGTTTGCTGAGCTCTCAGGGGTGGGCCTGGGCTCCACTGCATTCCCCACGCTCCACTGCCACGCTGCCCTTTCTGGCCACTTGGTAGTAATTAGGGATAAGTGAGCACAGATGACCTTGTTAGAGGGCTGGCCTGGAATATGTTCTAGTTTACGGAAGTTAAATCTCTTACAAATGTTACACCTCAGCTTTTATTAATAACAAGTTCCCTGGATGTCCCTCATCATACACCTTGGCCCATAAGGACATCACCCGCCATGGCTGAGCTGACTGCTGTTTATTGCTTTACGAAGTCCCCATGAAATACTCCTCGCCCCGGCCCCCAGGACCTGGCAATCCCAATGCGTATGGCATCCATACAGACAAAAAATATCCCTCCATCACATCAATGGTGCAATGGAACAGAGACAAAAATGCACAAAATAACCCACGGCCTACTGGTTTGGGGAGCCAGTTTTTACATGGCTGACCACTATTTGAGTCCCACCCTTGGCAGCTTGAGAAACACGCCAGGTGTGTGTGCATGAGTGCCCAAAATTCCGGGAGGGAGAAGAAGAGATTGTGATGTGACCATGCCCCATTAGAGGGTATTTTCTCCCTCACCTTCTCTTTCTCTCTATCTCTCTTTCTCTGGCAAGCATGCATGCTCTCTAGCATGTTTTTAAAAAAGAAGAGGAAGAAAAATGTGATCATTCTTGTATGTCCCCAGCTAAGCCACCAAAATCATCCCCTTCACTGGGACCAGCAGTTGGCGTAATGGCTATGTCACTAGACTTCCATGTAGTCAACCGTGGTTCAAGTCCTGGACCTGAGCGCATGTGCATGCGTGCCCAAGATCCTGAGATGACGGAACCAGCAGTTAGTGTAATGGCTATGTCACTGGATTCCCATGTAGTCGACCATGGTTCGAATCCCGGGCCCAGTGGCTTAAACTCACGCCGGGCGCATGTGCATGCATGTCCAAGATCCTGAGAAGAGAATGGAGGAGAAGAGATTGCGGCGTGGCCATCCCCCCTGGAGAGTGATTTCTCGCTTTCTGTCTCTCTCTCTGTCTTTCTGGCGAGCACATGTGCCCTATAGCAAAAACCTCTCCAAAAAAAAAAAAAAAATCCCCTTCACTCTCCCATACTTTCTATATAGAGACAAAGAAGAGCATTGCAGCCAGGCCGTGCTTGAAATGCTTTATGTGTACAATCTCATATCAGCACCTCCACAACCTCAAATTAAGCAGCAGCATTTTCATAGAGTCATCTTTCCCTCTAGGAAGTGGAAGTTGCCCCACCATGCAGTCCAGCCAGGTAGAGGCCCAGCTCTGACAAGTCCCGAAGCCCACACTTCTGTAGCACCCGCCGATGACTGGTGCTCCCTCTCCTCCCTCTGTCCCAACCCCAGCAGCCAGGAGCTTTCTGCCACAGTCTGTTTCTTCCTCATTACCTTGGCACGCTCTCCTGATGAGAACATCCAGTCTATCCTGGTCACACGTTTCTCTTCTGTGCTTTGGAAAGCGCATCCCATCAGAGCTGAGCCACCCACATGGACCATGAGTTCTGGGGATAAAATGGTAAATGATGTCAAACCTAAGGAATGATCTGTAAAAGTCAGAGAACTGTGGCCAGCAGGTGGCATGGTGGTTAAGGTGCTGGACTCTCATGTGGCTGACTGCAGTTCGAGTCCTGGACTTGGCAGCTTGAAACACACCAGGAGCATGCGCATGCCCCAAATCCCAAGAGGAAAATAAAGAAGGGATTACAGCATGGCCACCCCCTTGGGGAGTGATTTCTCACTTTCTCTCTCTCCGTCTCTCTCTGTCTTGCTGGTGAACACATGAACCCTATAGCAAAAATCTCCCAAAAAAGAGAAAGAAAAGGAGAACTTACAGAAGAGAAGATGTTTAGCCAAATACCCTCAGCAGCAGAAATCACTGTTGCCCCAAACCTCACACATATTCCTGCCACAGCTCATCCAGATGAATCTGTGTGGACAAAATACCCAGTCTCCACGCTCAAACCAACAAGGCATCACCCCGAGGAAGAGAACAGCCTCTAACTGACACATTCACCGCAAACGAGGTTGTGTCTTCACACTGCCATAAACACTTTCTGGTCCCCTTTGGGTTTTTTCCCCCTCTCCAGAATTCTTCCCATAAACTCTAACTCAACGTCAAGTTTGTACTAAAGAAAGTACCGGAAATCTTGAAGTCCCCCCTTTCTGTTCCACTTAGTCACATCTGATTCACACGAACAGGAAGTGGATGGTGATGAAATTGCCTTGCTTATACAGAACCCACTGCTCCTCTTCACTGAAAAAGTAAATAAGGGGACCTTTCTTTGACTTCTTTCATTCTTTTTACAAAAAGTCTTAGGACTTCATTCTGGCTTCTGTGCAGATCACAGGACTCCCTGCTAATTCAGCCAAGACAGTAGACAGCCTTCCCCTTGATTTTCCTTTCTGTTCCATCCTGACCTCTTCTGTCCCTTTGACCCCTCCTCCTTCCCCTGCTCTGGCTCTCCAACTCCTGGGATCCTCATCTGCCTATTTGTATAAGCAGCTGCCCTCACCATATGTTCATGGCTTAAGTCTTTTTCAAGAGGTCCTGATAGGGACCAGCAGTTGGCGTAATGACTATATTGCTGGACTCCCATGTGGTTGACCACGGTTCAGGTCCTGGACCAGGTGGCTTGAACTCACGCAGGGCACGTGTGCATGAACGAGTGCCCAAGATCAAAAAAAAAAAAAAAGAAGTCCTGATAAAGAAAACAAGTAGAAAGATACTTCTAATATTTCAATAATGCACTACACAAACCAATCACAAAGTTAATTAATGAGAGGCAGGAGAATGGAGAAAGAGAGACATTCTAGTCTTAACTGGACAGAGCTTCTTCAAAAGAGCGTTATGCAAAACCGAAGAGGGAGCAATGCGGTGCATAAGCTGACCTTTCACCCCAACTCTTTTCCAGGGAGAACATCAACTTCCTGCCCAGCAGGAGAGATGCACAGTGGGAAGAAAGTGAAAGAAAATATTACGAACTTGAAATTCTACGGAGGGAATTATTTTGAAAGTAATAAAAACTCACTCCAAAGAATACCAGGACAAAGGACCTTCCTCTAAATCTATCAACACTTCAAGAACAAAACTCTATTTTTAAGAACTTTGTCAGATGTGCATACACTCATCAGAGAGAGAAGAGAGACAGAGAGGGAGAGAAAGCACCCCACGGGCATGGTCACACCACAATTCCTTCTCTATTTCTTCATCCCATTGGAATTCTAGGTGTGTACGCATACGTGCTCAATGTGTTTTCCAAGCTGTAAGGTCTAGGGTCCATGGTTGCCGCTATGTGGGATTCAGCTCCCTTACCCACTAGGCCACAGGACCAGCCCTAAACTCTATTTTTTAAATGTATTATTGCTAATTGAACATTCTGAGAACTTTCAATGTACCTGGCATGTGCTAGACACTTTATACAAAGTATATCAGTTAGTCATCACAATATTTTGAGGTATGTGTTTAAGGAATTTTCAAAAGTGAATGGAGGAACCGGCAGGTGGTATGGTGGTTAAGGTGCTGGACTCCCACATGGCCAACCACAGTTCAGGTCCTGGACCCAGTGGTTTGAAAATAACACAGGGCATGTATGCATGTGTGCCCAAAATCCCAGGAGAAAAATGGAGGAGAAGAGATGACAGCATGGCCATCCCCTCTGCGGGGTGATTTCTCACTTTCCCTCTCACTGTCTCTCACTGGTTCTCTCTGGTATATGCACATGGCTTATGCCAAAAGCGTAAATAAATAAATAAATAAGAAAATAAGAACAAAGCAATCAGATCCTTTCTTCAAACAAAATACTACCTACCAGCCCAAGTGTGTGTGTGTGTGGCGGGGTTTGGGGGGAGGACAGAAAAGAGGAAAAGGAGTTTGGTTATCAGGGAGGTGGAAGCCTGGGGCCCCACCAGAGTCGGTCTCCTGCCGTCCCCTGTCCCACCCTCTGTACTGTGTGAGGTTTCTGGGTGCATCAAGGCCCTGCAGAGTGCAAATTTAAACCACCACGATACTGAAGCCACTTCCTCCATTTACAGATGTGAAAACGAGGAAGGAAGAATTGGAAATGTTCATATCAATATGGCAAACTAAACTTTAGAGACATCAGATGTCACTCATTTGAGTTTTACTCATCTTTTATAAGAGAGAGGGCCAGCTCAATAACTCAGTGGTTTCAGTTCTTTAAGACCCAGAGCACCTAACATAGATACCTAGAAAATATGGACGTGGCATTGTTGTGGACACCTGATGGGAGGCACCAGGACATAGGGAAAAGAACATGGACTTTGCCGTTGGAGATGTCAGGGTTAAAGCACTGATTATGCCCTTTAATAAATTTATGCCCTCAGGCAAGTCCCTTGACCTCTGTAAGCCTCAGTTGCCTCGTCTGTAAAATGGAAACTTAATTCCTTCATGAGGACGAAATGTGTTCAAAGCAATAATAAAGGTTTTTTGGGTTTTATTTTGAGAGGTTTTTGCTATAGGGTGCGTGAGCTCACCAGAAAGACAGAGAGAGACAGAGACAGAAAGGGAGAAATCACAGCCCAGGGGGGATGGCCACGCCGCAATCCCTTCTCCTCCATTCTCCTCTCAGGATCTTGGGCATGCACACACACGCGCCCGGCGTGAGTTTAAGCCACCGGGTCCAGGACTCAAACCGCGATTGGCTACATGGGAGTCCAGTGACATAGCCATTACACCATCTGCTGGTCCCAAAGTAATCATTTTTCTTTAATAAGATCCTGACCATTTATTGACGACTCTCCGATGATAAACACTTAGCCCCAAGGCTGGCAGGTGGTCAGCGAAATCAGTCCCCTGGCCTCTCTCACCCCGAATCCTGGCCCTTGGCTCCCCTCCGAACAAGCAGCCACATACCTTTGGGCTCCTCTGGCAGAACGTACAGCACCACCGTTTTTTTGAACACGAGGCTCTCCCCTTCGAGGCGAATCTCGCAGGTGTAGGTTCCCTGGTCAGCCTGTTGCACATCTTGGAGCAGGAGTGAACCATCAGCATCGCGGACTATGTCCCCCACCAAACTCGCGCGGCTCTTGAAGCGCCCATTGGGAACGCTGAGGTTGGAGTAATAGTACAACACATATTCATCCTGGAGGGCGACACGACCGGGGAGAAACTCCAGATGGGTCCCAGACCTAGGAGTCTGGATCCAAAAGACTCCGCAGCTGGGGTCAGACAGGTACTGTCTGCATCACAGTCCAACCACTTGACACCCAGATAATGATAATGACGAGCCAGGCAATATTTAATATGCACAAGGCTCCCGAGCTGGCTTTCTACAAAGATGGATGAAGAAACACAGTCCATGTGGGGTTTATTTTTTTAAAGAATTTTTAAATTTAATTTTATTATTATTATTTTTTAATTTGCTATAGGGCATGTGTGCTCACCAAAGAGAGACAGAGAGAGAAAGAGGGAAAGTAGGGACCAGCAGTTAGCATAATGGCTATGTCGCTGGACTCCCATGTAGTCGACCTCAGTTCGAGCCCCGGACCTGGTGGTTTAAAACATGCGAGGCGCGTGTGTGTGCATGCCCAAGATCCTGAGAGGAGAGTGGAGGAGAAGGGATTGCAGCATGGCCATACCCCCTAGGGGGTGATTTCTCATTTTCTGTCTCTCTGTCTCTCTTTGTCTTTCTGGCGAGCACACACACCCTCTAGCAAAAATCTCTCCAAAAAAAAGAAAGAGGGAAAGTAAGAAAGCAAGCCATCAGATCTGGATTCAAACCTGGGTCGGCCATGTGGAAGTCCAGTGCCTTAACCACCATGCTATCTGCTGGCCCCCAATCTCTGTGCTTTTACTTCTTAAAGCTTAAGGTAAAATATAACACCCCACCCCTTCTGAGGATTTAGGGATTCGAATCCACACCTTTGGAAAAGCCATTCTCATTTTTCACCCTGTTCTCAGCCGTAGCCCCCAGATTAGATGTGCAAATTCACGGTGCTGTCCCACTGGGGGTGCAAGCTGGTGTGAGAATCCTGCAGGCTGGCCACCACACATCTCCTTTCCGCCCTCCTCCCACCCCCCCCCACCCTCCCACACACACACACACACACACACCCCGCTTCAGAACAAAAAGAGCCATCACAGGAATGGGTACAAGTAGGCAGAGGGAGCCCTGGGCAATTCTCATTTCTCCTTACTCCTGGGTGTATCCATCTCATCATCCATCATAAGAACAATTTGAATGAGAGCACCCTAACATAGAATAACACAGATATGCCTCAAGCTATAAAAATATTTCATTTGCAAATGCTAGGACGTTATTGTTCAGAACAAACTCCTGGGGACATATTTTACAAAGGACCCTGATGTGCAGTGTCCCGACAGCCTCTCTGAGGAGGTTTTCGACACTATTCCCTACTCCAGAGAGCCCCATGAACAAGCCTCGCCCAGCCATGCCACAATTGCTGGTCCTAAGTCTTGAATCAGCAGCCAAGAATGGGCCTGTACAATGCTGAAATAATCCGCCCTTCCCCTATCCAAAACTTATATCGTGACCAGGGCCAGCAGGTGGCATGATGGGATCCCACAGGGCCTATAGTTTGGTTTGAATCCTTGACCTGGTGGCTTGAGAAACAACCCGGGAGGCCAGCAGCTGGCATAATGGCTATGTCGCTGGACTCCCATGTAGTTGACCACAGTTCAAGTCCCGGACCTGGTGACTTAAATCACACCGGGTGCGTGTATGTGCATGCCCAAGATCCCAAGAGGAGAATGGAGGAGAAGGGATGGTGATAATCACCCTGGGGGGTGATTTCTCGCTTTCTGTTTCTCTGTCTTTCTCTTTCTGCCGAGCACATGTGCTCTATAGCAAAAAACCTCTCCAAAAAGAAAAAAAAAAAAACACTAGACACGTGTATATACATGACCAAAATCTCAAGAGGAAAATAGAGGAAAAGAGAAGGGGTCACAGCATGGCCATCCACCTTGGAGGGGGAGTGGTTTCTCACTTTCCCTCTCCCTGTCTCTCTCTCCAGCAAGCACACATGTCCAATAGGAAAAACTAAAAAACAACAATAACAGAAAAAGATAACGCCATCTCACTCTTGTGCCTAGAATAGAGCTCTTGTGTTTAGACCCTGAGCATCAGTCCTCTCATCCCTCTGTGCTACTCTACAAAAGGCAGGAGAAAGTAAGGAAACCAAAAGAACTTCATGGACATGTCTCCCCTTAGCCCTTCAACTAGTTAAAGTTAAGCATTTTCATTATTACGATTCCCCTCCCTTTCACTCAGCAAAACCAAAAGAACTTCATGGACATGTCTCCCCATAGCCCTTCACCTAGTTAAAGTTAAGCATTTCCATTATTACGATTCCCCTCCCTGGAGATGGGAGCTCAGCAAGGTTGGGCGACCTGCCAGATTGATCACCTAGTAGGAGGGAGGAGCTCAGCAAGGTTGGGTGACTTGCCCGGTTGATCACCCAGTAGGAGGGGGGAGCTCAGCAAGGTTGGGTGACCTGCCCAGTTGATCACGCAGTAGGAGGGGGGAGCTCAGCAAGATTAGGTGACTTGCCCGGTTGATCACCTAGTAGGAGGGAGGAGCTCAGCAAGGTTGGGTGACCTGCCTGGTTGATCACACAGCAGGAGGCGCGGGCTCAGCAAGGTTGGGCGACCTGCCTGGTTGATCACCCAGTAGGAAGGGGGAGCTCAGCAAGGTTGGCTGGCCTGCCCGGTTGATCATCCAGCAGGAGGCGTGGGCTCGGCAAGGTTGGGTGACCTGCCCGGTTGATCACCCAGCCAGGGCCTGAGCTAAGAGCAGACCCAGCTCTGATGAGCTGCAAAGCCCAGTCTCAACACCGGCTCATGCAAGCGATGACTCATTCTCCCTTTGCTTCCTCGCCCAATACCATCAGGAAAGGATTTCCACTCCCTGTGGTGTCTCTGCCTCGTTACCTGGGCAGGCTCTCCCGGTGAGAGCATCCAGTCCACTTTGATCACACGTTTCTCTTCCGTGCTCTGGAAAACACATCCCATCAGAGCCGAGTCACCCACGTGGACTGTTAGCTCAGGGGAGGAGACGCGCAGGTCATTCAAGCCCAAGGAATAATCTATGGAAGTCAAGGGTCAAAGGACACATCATTTAGATAAACACCTTTTGCGACAAAAGTCAGTATGGACCACCAAGTGCCACACACCTCCTTCCTAGATAATCCAACATAGACAAAGTACTAAGAGGCTCCTCGCTCACACCAACATGGCCTCTCAGAGAGACTGAGGAAAATCCTCTCAGGCCTCCATGGCTCAGGTCAGGAGGGCTCTGCCATCTTCACACTGCAGTAAATGCCACCTGGCTCCCTTCTCCTAGAAAATCCCTCCCCCTTGTTTGGAACTCTTCTAAAAAGAGAGAGAGAGAGAAAGCCCAAAGTCTCTCCTTTCTGAGAGCAGATTCAAACATCTGCATCTGCTTACCATAAACAGAAAATGGGATTGATCAACAATTTAGACACCCACATCCACTTATCATGACCAGGAAAACCTGACGGTTCTCACTCTTGGGTTCCCTATCTGAAAAGCCAATTCATGGGTCCTTTCTGTTTCCTTCCCCTTTCCCTAGTTCCCTTACAAATGCTGTCTTTGCATCCGCCAGCGGATTCTGGCTGTGCCGCTGGGCCTCGAAATTAAGCCAATGCAGAACACAGCTTCCCCGGGGAATCTCCTTGGCGGTCGCCCTCCCGCTGCCTCCCCACCTCCAGCCTTGCCCTCAGGCCAGGCTTTTTAGCCTGTGCTTTTGCACAATGCTCCGTCCGTCCGTTCCATTATCTGCGGGTCACTCTAAAGTAATTTCAAGAGGTCGCTAAAAGAGAACACCATTAGATTGGACATTTCTGTTTTCACGAGATGTGCTCTATGCCAAGAGAGAACAATCGAAGGAAGACACGTTTAGAGGCTGCTCAGCTCATATCCAGGAAGAGCCAAGCAGGAACATATGGGAATGGACAGAGAACGTGCCAGTCCTTTCATCCAGGCTGCTTCCCTGAGAGCAGAGAGTTAACTTCCTCCCCGACAGCAGGCTCGCACAGTGGGGGGACGTAAGAAAACAGGAACTCTAAACCCTCTGGAGGCGATTATTTTGAAAGAAATCAAAATTAGCTCCAATAACTATTTGGCATTTTCCTGTGAGGAAGAACTGAGCAACTCTACGTGTGGTTAAAGGATAAGAAGCAAATTTTGTTTAATAGCGAAAGCACTGTGTGCAGGATTAAATAATGGATTGCCGAAATGTAACAGCAACACCTAAAATGAGGAAAAACTAGAAAAAAGGATCGTCTTTTTTTTTTTTCTTGCCAGAGGGCACATGTGCTCACCAGAGAGGGAGAGGGGCAAAGGGAGAGAGCACCCCTCCCAGAGGCCTGGCCACGCCACAATCCCCTCTCCCCCAACTCACTCTCCTTCGGGGATTTTTGGGCACGCACACACACTGCCTGTGTATTTCTCAAGTCTCTGGGTCTGAGACTCAAACCACATAGTCGGCTTTGAGGGATCTATCCAGATCCTTAACTGCCAGGCCACAGGCTGGCCCCTCAAGAGTAACCCTAACAGAGCAATGGCTGAAGAAAATGAAACTTTGTACAGAAGAAACGTCTCCACTAACTTCTCATAGGACGCCAACAAGCCACTGCCTGCAGAGCTGGATGGTGACACCAGAGAGAAGGGCAAAGCTGTAGGCTGCGTCACAGTCCTCTGGGGGATGTCCAAACACCCTCTGGTACAGGGACAATGCGGTTTCCTCCGATGTGTGTGTACATGTGCATGTGTGCATATGTGTGTGTGTGCGTCTGCATGCCTGCACACTATGTGACCTGGACTTGAAGCAAACCCAACACTTTTGAGGACTTTGCTGAGTGGATGTTTAGGTCACCAAACACAATACAGGAAATAACAATAAATAGGGGTCAGCAGATGGCATGGTGATTAAGGCACTGAACTCTCACATGCCTGACTGTGGTTCAAGTCCCACACCTGGTAACTTGAAAATCATGCTGGGCACATGTGCACGCATGCCCAAAATCCCGAGAGGAGAATGGAGGAGAAGGAACTGCAGCATGGCCATCCCCGCCGGGGGGTGATGTCTCACTTTCTCTATCTCTCTGTCTCTAATAATAACAATAAAGAGAACCGTAACAGGCTCTGAGAGCAAAGCAGCTAATTAATCTCTTCTCCCTACAGAGTCACATCCATGGACTAAAGAGTGAACACCGGGAAGGATGGGAGGATGACAGGCGGCAGCGCTGAGCACTTAGGTAGACGCAGGCCTCGTGGAAGGGAGTGGAGCTTAGGAGGAAGCAGGGGACGGGCAGGCGTGCTGAGCAGTGAGGTGCTGGGGGTGGGGGGGAGAGGAAGGGAAGACTCCAGGCAGAAGAAAGCACTGTGAATTATCTGAAGAACCACACATGGCTAAAGTAGGAACACCATACAAGGCTTTTCTTGGGTAATTTCACTTCCTAATCTGAAACAGCTGTGGTTTTCGAGGTACCAGTCGAACGCCCAGACATTCCATAGAGAAATGTTCGTTGTAGGACACCAGACGGTCCTAGAACGTTCGCACAGTAAGGACCCGCGGGCATTCGCTCTGTCTCCAACAGAAACAGAGCAAGGGTCCGCCTTCTGAGAGGGGGTCTGTTGCTACATGGCCGTTGCGTGACTTTTTCAACAACTGCGTTGACAAAACTATCAAGTTCCACGTTAGGATTTTCGTTTTCAACAAACCAAGGGGAATTGAAAATGTACACAAGCGGCTTTTAAGCTGCATGAGATTTAGGAGAAATCAAATACTCGGTTTTGTTCCTTGGTTTGTACTTACCCAGTAACACCGGCATCAGGAAGAGTTTCAGCAGGCAACACATGACGCGCACGGCTTCTCAGTCCTGAGATAAAAGGGGGAAAATCAGAAAATCATGTCAAGCAAGTTCATTTGTTTAACAAACCGATAGTGTCTATGCGCGTCCCCTCTGTCCGAGGCAGGGGGATGTATCCCTGAACAAGGACAAGGTCATGTGCTCATTTGCAGTTTACACGTGGGGGGCCTGAGGAAATGAATGAATGAACGAAAGAACAAGAAAATCTCAGGTGTCGATGAGCGCTGCGATGAACCAGAACAGGATGTTCGAAGAGCAGTTTGGGGGCTGCTTTAGACTGACCATAAGGAAAGGTTAAATGAAAGATGCTTTTCAAGAGGAAAAAAAGGGCAAATGATTACAGAATGCCCTGCAGATGACAGCCTGAGACATGCTACAACCCGAGTGTTTCATGCAAACAGAAAAGAACAGAATACTGCCTGAAATTTCACCTCTCTCTCCAGCGAAGTGCGAGTTCGTACTTTTAAACATGTGGAGAAGGTTCAGGTCATGTGGGGAAAGAGATACACAAATGAGGAGAACTTTTTAAATTTGGTTAGGGCGTTAACGATGTTCCAGGACACAAAGAAGTCAAATAAAAGAATGTTTGGGGGTTGGTTTGTTTGGGTTTTTTTTAACTTTTTTAAGTCACAGATGTGTAGGTAGATTGAGAATTGGGCTGTGCATAGGTAAAAGTTGGGTTGTTGTTTTTTCATTTGCCAGAGGACACATGTGCTTGCCAGAGACGAGGAGACACAGAGAGAGGGAAAAAGCACCCCCCCATGGGGCATGGTCACACCACAATCCCTTCTCCTCCATTTCTTTTTCTTTCTTTTTTTTTTCTTTTTTTTTTTTTTTTAGAGCTTTTTTGCCATAGGGCACGTGCACTCACCAGAAAGACAGAGAGAGACAGA